TGTAGCCAGGTGCAGAGCTGTTTGTGTCTAGTAAGTGTCTATTCTGAGGATATTTTTATCAATGATTACACAGAGGAAACTGAAATTAAAGACTTCCCCATAGACTTTGTAGATCATCCACTCTTTTGTTATTGAAACTACAAATGGAAAATGAGCTGCCATTGAAAGGGAAACTCAGATGTGTTTTATGGATTCTTTGTTTTTCTTGCTTCCTTGTGATTGCATAAACACTGCTTTAGGGAGAGTGAGAGAAAATCCTAAGGGCAGCTGTCAGAACCAGAAGAGAGATTTGGTTTAGTTGCTGGTCTCCATGCAAGTGGACTTCTCTTTCCATCCTTCCCTGCTGCTGGATCTAAAAATGGATTTTGGAGAACCAGAGCTTGTGGCCTCAGTTATGTGGGTATATGTTACAAGAATTAGTAGTGCCAGTGGAACTCAGACTTGATAAATGCTACTATTATTTTATGATTAGGTATTAAATGTTACCTCTATTACCCTCTCAGGACAATACACTGCACTTCGGGGAAGAAGCACATAACACGACTTGAAGAAAATGAGAACGTGTTTAAACAGAATGTCTCCTGGATAGTCAAGGGAGAGATTAAACTGGAATTCAGATGAAGTATTTTGTAGGTACATACACTAGTGAGGAATTACTGAAATGGGAGAGCCAAAGCAGGGAGTGCTTAGCTTGCCCTTTTTTCCCCCAATAAAATCTGGGAAGTAAAATTTCAAATGTCTTCTGAACATTGAACACCATTTTGGTTTGCTTTTAGTTTATGGAAAAATAAGGAATTATTAAAAAAATAATCAAAATAATTCCAAGGGTTCTTTCAGCAATGTAAAACTGGTTGACTTATGATAAGAAAAAGTGCTGTGAAATAGTGATAAATAAACAAAACCAAAAAGGTTGTTTTATGTGTTTGTTCCCCACTAACTTTTTACTGTACTGATAGTCTCAGTGATTATTTATAATTGTATGAAAACTGTGTCTGCCTGCATGAATATGAGAAGACACGCTTGGTTTAGTTGTGCATATGAAGAAAAGGAACTGCATAAAATATTTTTCATTCCTCTTGTTAATTCTTGATTGAAATCCATTGAGCACTGTTATTCTTTTGCTGGTAATACACAGACAAAAGAGCAGACTGTCACCAAAGGCAATTCCTTAATTCATATTTCAGAGGATAAAAACTAAGAACATGTTATTTATTTCATGGATATGTATGTGCATAGTTAAATGTGTATCAGTTATAATGGGCCAAGGAAAGTGGAAAGGAATCCTTAGTGCACAGATGGAATGGGAAAGAGAGAACCAGAACAGAGCAGGCTTTGAGATTTGAGGCAAAGGCAGGCATTTCATGTGCAAAGGATCAGGCTCCTATTGGATTCCCAGTACTGGGAGCATAAAACTTTAATTTCCTTATAGAAGCAGAGCAGCTTGAAGTGATAGGTTTGACAGTGGAAGCTGAATATTGTTTTTCTTTTAAATTTATTATTTATAATTTAGGAGGTTGTTATAATTTATTGTATTTTATTTTACCTTGTCTTTAAAACTACTAGCTATTATTTAAAATAATAGAATAAGGTTTGGAATACGGATTCACACAAATACATATATATCCATTGTAGAAGAAAAATCTGTGAAGTAAAGAAAATAGATTTAGATGAATTCAATTTGACATTGTGTGTGTAAGAAGACCTGGGAGCCTAATTTGTACTGATGACAATAAAAATAATTTTGGTGAGAGAAGTGTTATGACCCACCTCTGAAGGTGGGATAACTGAGGTTCTTGTTAATAGATCCCTTGGGGTGGATTAGAGTGAAATAACACTGTGTTTCTAGAGAGACAGAGAGATAGACAACAAGTTTATTTTATAACCATTTGATTGCAATGGAAAGGAGGTATGTAGCTGTTTTGGTTAGTATCTACAGAAAAACAGCAATATAAAAGTATAAAGATATCACTTAAGAAAACATATAAGGAAAAGAAAGAAAGAAGAAAGGATAAGAGTTGACAGTGGAGAGGAAAGATATCACCACCCATGGATCCAGTGACAAAAGTTGATTATTGCAATTTCATTGGTTGGGATAATGGTCTCAGTCTTGATCCATGAAACACAAAGTGCAGTGGCTTCAATGTTCAGGTGGGAATGCCCAGGTGCCTCCCCTGGGGGCATGGGAAGTGTGACACTGTCTGATACAACCCTGTGGTCATGAACAGTTCTCTGGTGAAGGCCTTAAAATAAGTCTGGGGGCATTTCAGGGTCTTTGATGGTTTATGACACCCTCTAAGACATGAGCCTGCCTCTTAGGTCAGTGCAGCTGAGCTGGTTATGCCCCACCATGAGAAGGATGAAAACTGAGGCCTCCTGTGAACATCTTCCTCAGGGTCAGGTGGAATTTTACACCTGAGCCACTTGCTTGTGTGAGGGAGTTCATTGCCATGATCAAAAGCACTATTCCACCTCACAGGGTCTGCTTCTTATAGGCTCTTCCCTTATCTCTTCAAAATCAGCCTTTTGCTAAACAAAGGTGGTGGGTGCTCACCCCCTCTGCCCCTGGGCAGTGCTTCTGCAGACCAGAGGTTTCTGCAGCACACACCCAAAAGCTCTCACCTGCTCTGGCTGGGGTGCTCAGCAAAGCACCTGCTGCTTTGGCAAATGGCCCATCGTTTGAGTCATTAACCCTTAGCATTTCAGTCTCTCAGATGAATGAATGTCTCCGAAGCAATTCCTAGAAAATGTGTTCAGCAAGATTAAATACTACTTCTCCCTTAAAGATTAAATCACAATAAAGCACCCTGTGGAGAGTTTTACTCTTCATAGCCAGACCATGAGTGTTATCACAACTGTCACAGCCCAGGCAAGGATTCTCCTCATTTCCCTGTGCATGGAGCAAGCCTGCTTAGGCACACAGACATCCTGGGGTGTGATTCTTCCATTCATCTGTGCCCTCTCTGTACAGTGCTTTGAGGAGTAACAAGGATTGTGCCTGTTCAGTGTCTGCGGTCACAGGTGCTCACTGAAAGCTGCACCATGAATTTTACCTGAGAGCCTTTCCTCCTGGTTTGCTCCCTTTCACTTGGAGGATAGAATCAGGTGAATTTCGAATGGTTTTAATGTATTTTAAGCTGTGTCAGAACATATTTTTTCTGGTGTTTTGGTGACTACTTGCCCTAGCTTGCCCTAAGACTATTTGTTAATCCACTTTATGTCATTAGAAATTCAGGAATATAATTTCTTGTTAGCCACACAGGTGTAGGGCAGAGTTTTCCTCCAGTGAGCAGCAGGGTGATTAAAAGAAGGCTCTAGGGAGCATGGCAGACAAGACAAATGGGCTTATCCTCAGCTGTCCTCCTGGGTTGGTAGATGGTGTCAGGGAGCAGAATGGCCCCCTGTTATCTAGGAGGAAGCAGTCAGAGAACTGCTGAGCAGCTTTGATATTCATAAATCTATGGGACCTGATGGGATCCATCCCAGGGTGATGAGCTTGTGAAGCCACTATCCATCATTTACCAACAGTCTTGGCTCACTGGTGAGGTTCCAGATGACTGGAAGCTGGCCACTGTGACTCCCAAAAAGGGTGGGAAGGAGGATCCTGGTAATTTTAGGCCAGTTAGCCTGACCTTAGTACCCGGTAAAGTTATGGAACAGTTTATACTGAGTGTCATCACACAGCACTTACAGGATGCCCGGGGTATCACACTCAGCCAGCACGGGTTTAAGACCTACCATGGAGGGGTAGGTCTTGTTTGACCAACCTGGTCTCCTTTTATGACCAGGTGACCTGCCTGGTGGATGCAGGAAAGGCTGTGGATGTTGTCTGTTTGGACTTCAGCAAGGCCTTTGACACTGTCTGCCACAGCACACTCCTGGAAAAGCTGGCAGCCCACAGCTTGGACAGGAGCACTCTGTGCTGGGTTAGGAACTGGCTGGATGGCTGGGCCCAGAGAGTGCTGGTGAATGGTGCTGCACTCAGCTGGGCATCAGTCACCAGTGGTGTCCCTCAGGGGTCTGTGCTTTGGCCAGTTCTGTTCAATATTTTTATTGATGACATGGATGAGGATATTGAGTTTTTCATTAGTAAATTTACAGACACACTAAGCTGGGAGCATGTGTTGATCTATTGGAATGTAGGAGGGCTCTGCAGAGAGACCTGGAATAGTTGGATGGATGGGCAGAGTCCAGTGGGATAAAGTTTAATAAGTCCAAGTGCCAAGTCCTGCATTTTGGCCACAATAACCCCCTGCAACATTACCGGCTGGGGACAGTGTTGCTGGACAGTGCCCAGGCAGAAAGGGACCTGGGGGTGCTGGTCAACAGCCGACTGAACACGAGCCAGCTGTGTGCCCTGGTGGCCAAGAAGGCCAATGGCCCCTGGCCTGTATCAGGAATAGTGTGGCCAGCAGGAGCAGGGAGGTCATTCTTCCCCTGTCCTCAGCACTGGTGAGGCCACACCTTGAGTGCTGTGTCCTGTTCTGTCCCCTCAGTTTAGGAAGGGCCTTGAGACACTTGAGCATATCCAGAGGAGAGCAACAAGGCTGGAGAGGGGCTTGGAACAGAAACCCTGTGAGGAACAGCTGGGGTTGTTTAGCCTGGAGAAAAGGAGACTCAGGAGTGACCTTATCACTCTACAACTCCCTGAAAGGTGGCTGTAGCCAGATGTGGGTCGGTCTCTTTCTCCAAGCAGCAGCAGACAGAATGAGAGGACACAGTCTTAAGCTATGCACCAAAGGAAATATAGGTTGGATATTAGGAAGAAGTTTTGTACTGAAAGAGTCATCAAGTACTGGAATTGTCTGCCTGGGGAGGTGGTGAAGTCACCATCCTTGGATTGTTTAAAAAGCTGGATGTGGCACTCAGTGCCATGGTTCAGTTGAGGTGATTTGAAGGTCTCTTCCAACCCCGTGATTCTATGGCTCCGTGATTCTGTGACAAGAAAATTTATATTTTGTTGCCATAGTGTTGCAGAATCATAGAATCCTTTAGGTTGGAAGAGACCTCTCATATAAAGTCCAACCATTAATTAAACAGTGTCAAGGCAACCACTAAAACATGTTCCCATCTACACACCTTTTAAATTCCTCCAGGGATGGTGACTCCACCACTACCCCAAGCAGCACGTTCCAATGTTTGACAGTCCTTTCCACTGAGACATTTTTCCTGTTATCCAACCTAAACCTCCACTGGCACAACTTGATGCCGTTTCTTCTTGTCCTGTTGCTTGTTACTTGAAAGAAGAGACTGGCCTCTACCTGCCTACTAGCAAGCCCCATAAAAACACCTTTAATCCTTAAAGAATAATGAGCTTCAGCTTGGGCAAGGTAAAAGAACATGTGAATAATGTAGCAGCTGCTGCAGGCTGACTATAAGTTAAAAAGCTGGTACTTGCTTACAAAAATGGAGGCCCATCTCTTTTTGGAATCAGTATATTGTGAAGTTTTAGAAGCAGTAGAGCACAATTCAGATTCCATTAAGGCTGTGCTTTCCTTCTGGGTTAAAAGACATTTTTTCAGTGACAATTTTCAGGTTGGGTACTTGTGATGCAAGACCTGACGATGACAGAAAAGACCATGATTATAATATGTCCTTCTTAATAAGAGCTGTCATGGTTTCTTGAAGGTAAAACTACCTTCTTAGCACCTTCCTAGCAGAGGAAGATGGTGTGTTTTTTTGTTTCTAGGACGCTTGCAGTAATTACAGATATAGCAAACATTGCATCCAAAATGGGATTTTACAGCTAAATGATGTCACCTTGAATGCTCTGAAAAACTCTGGTACAACCTTCAAACAGACCTGAGAGGTGATTTGGGATTGTTCCCACATAACAAAGCATAGTGCAACAGGTAGATTATTTTTTTCCCCACCAGTTAGTCTATTGCCTTCAATGCAAAAGAATTTTTTTGCATCACATAATTTGTTGGACCTTATGGCAGCTGAGAATACAGTCAGTGTTGAAAGCCCCAAGGTGTAAGTTACACAACTGTTGCAGAGCCCACCAGAGTACTGTATACTCTATCTCTGACACTGCCATGCAGTGACAGAGATTTGTTATTCCAATATCAGCCCGTATGGACTCTGTTTCATTTTGGTAAAAATAGTGATCAGATTATTAATGTATAAAATCAAGGCCATGGAGATAAATGAAATGGGTACTTTGGGTTGCTTCATTGCATTCTGACAAGGTTCAGCTACAACAAGCTAAAGATTTTTGCTTGTAATAGCATATTGCAGTCAGTATGAAGGTGCATGAACCATGCTGTTTGTAAATACAAGTCTTGCATTCTTTCATAAGTTTTTTAAATGGACACAGTGAAAATCTTGAGAATCATAAACAGAAAATTTTCCAGTTTTTTAAGCAATGATGATTTTTTGAACAGCACACTACCAAAAACTCCCAATTTACTCTTGGACATCAGCTGAACAGTAAGTGTTACCAGTTAGAAGATTTCATAGATGAGACCTTATTTTAAAATTGCCTTCACTTAGGTCCATCGTGTGTGGAATCATTTGGTACTGGCTTCTGATGAGCAGGATGTTGTCTTTAACAGCTCACTGGGATTTTCAAATGCATCAATACCGAGGTTTGACAAGTGCTTGTGTTCCTTGAGGCATGGAGAATAAAAGTAATTCTGAACAAAATTCTGTTCTTTATTTCAGTTTCAATGATAACATGCAAATCAGAATCTGTTAACCACTGGCTGTTCCAGATATGACATCAAAGCCAAAAAAGGGAGACTTGATGTAGTATGACTCAAAACCAGAAGTATTTTGGTAAGTCACATAACATGCATTAAGAAGTTGAGGAAATTATCATTTGTGATAACAGAAATTTTTTCTCTGAAAAAGTACATTTTCAAGAAACATTGCTAAAAAGCACAATAGACTGTTCACATTTCGGAAAGTCTTTCTTCCTTCAAAGACCTAGAAGACCAAACCCTCACACAAGGTAGGCTTAGAACATCCTGCCACAGCCAAAGCTTGTGGAAAACTCCACAATGCCTCAGCGTGGCATACTGGTTTTGGTCAAGTATAATGCAGTGCTCTTCCTATCTATGCAACTTCCACCTTCTTTCAGAGTTATTAATTCACCTGTTTCAGTTAGAACATTTTTCTTGGTAAGCCTGCATTACCTCAGCACATCAAGAGGAATATTCTCATGTTCAAACAACATTGAAGAATATTATCTGCTTGAGAAGTTTTGCATTGCTTTCCAAAATATGTATTGACCAAAGCAGAATTTAAATAAAATAAGTCCCCCAAAAATATATATATTACTCCTGTGTATTCACTATGTAAATACAGTTTATGAGGTTTTAATCTCTTTCTTGAACCCTTGAAAGCTTGGTTTTTAAGATGGTAACCTTATGGCTGCAATACTATTAGTTCTTAAATGTACTGATGCTATCAGTCTACATGCATGGTTCTTTTATACCTAGAGGACTCCTTAGTGATGCTAATACAGCTAACAATATTGCTTGACTTTATTAAAGCCTACTAATGTGTTTACTTGGGGTTGAGAAGTCACACATTTTCCCTTCCCACCAGTAGCAGTCAGCTCTGATATGTATTTTTGCTTTCTTACATTAACACACATGTGTTACAGAGTATCTGTGCAGGTGATTAAAAAAAAAAAAAGGCTGCATAGCTCTTTGGTGTCACTTGAAAGTAAATACAGATGTGTACCCTACTCATGTGAGGCTCCATATGAACACATAGATATCGCCTAAAGGTAAATTTCATATGCATCTAAAAGACAATTTCTGGAGAGAAAATTATCTTACATTGTCATGGACTCCTGTCCCATTTTTATTAATGGCCCAGATTTGAGAAACAACTGAAACAGAAGGTGTATCCTTACTGTGATACCTGGGTGTGAGACAGGACACGCCCTTCTTTGAAGGAGTAACTTGCATAAATTCTTATTTTTCCACTCATAAAACTCTTGTATATACCTCCCCATCCCCATTTTTCTCCCCAGAGTTTCTCATCTTCCATTCAAGAACTGCTGCTCTGTATCCCATTTTGGCCCAAGTAATAAGTAGATAGTAATGACATTCCCTTAACCATTGTATCTCGCTGCTGACATCTGCATAAGGAACAGATGTTGTCCAGTGCTGCACCACTGTCAAGGCATGGAAGAGTCTTCCTTCACTTTCTGTCCTTCCTGATGTTGTTCCAGTGAAACTGTTCCAATTCTAGCTGACATTACATGTCCTCTGGACTGGAATGCACATGCTGTTTCCTGCATGTATGTGTTTGATCTGTTTAATTAGAGCCATGGAAGACATCTTCTGCACCTCAAAATAATATTTCTTGGCACTACACCTGGGGAAACAGGCATCCACTGTAATCTGGGATATGACAAGAATATCAGAGGCCAGCTGAAGGAGGGATTCCCAAAGTCTTGGTGTATTTCTCATGGTACTTGCATGAGAAAAAAGAATCTGCAAATCCTCCAAATGCGTTTGTCTTCTGCAAGTGCAGAGCCTGGGACAGAATTGGAAACAGCTGTAACCCCTGCCTCGAAGAGGTACAGTGCAGATCCATTTCTATAGGGAAGCTATCCCAGCAAAGTTAATTGGGCAACTCCTGATCTAAGGTATTAGTGTTTTATTATCATGATTTTCTTCTGACAACCACACAGGAGCATTTTCATTAGAAGTGCATCAAAAAAGGTCATAGTTACTTAAATGAATAACATTGGTATTTTGCAAATGAGCAATTAAGTTATGAAAGAAGCCTCTTTTCATATAGCTGCTGGTTTTGATCCTTCTCTGCATTATTTAAGACCTAAGGCTCCAGAGTTAATTCCTAGTGCCAGATATAGAGTGTAGTTCTGCTGTGGTAAAGTGTTGTGTGACCTTCTGGACCAGGGAGAGGGCAGACTTCAGTCTGACAACAGTAGGTCCTGCTCTTCCCTAGGGTGGAATTCCTTCCTTGTCTTTGCAGCCTCTCTGTCTGCTCACTCCCGTCCTTTCCTGCACCATCCCTTTGGCACTGGTTTCTTCTGGTTCTTGCCACAAAAGTCTGTGGTCACAGCAAAATATGTGCCCTCTGCAGTGTCTGATTTCTGTCTGGATGGGCTTTTCCAAGACTCTCAAAATATTTGCTGCCTCCTCTCCACTTCCTCATCTGTATCTCCAGGTCTGAAAACTTCCTGTACAAAACACTTGATTGGATAGATATAGATGCCACCACGTGTCACCACAGACAAGGGACTGGTCAGCATGTGCTCTGAGACAGTAAAAGCCAGGTAGAAATCTGCAAATGGGAATGTCCCTTTGTATTGCAGTTCATCAGAAAGGGATTCCAGGAGTTAATAAAGAATTCCTGTGAATTCAGCATTAAGTTCATTTTTTCAAAAAACATGAGTTAGTGTTTACTGTGAAGTTCTTTTTTGACTACAGACTGAATAAGGAAGGAAACAAAATATTTGAGTTCTCTCTGGAAGGCAGCTACTTTTTCTGTGCCTTTTTCTTTCCTCTGTTTAATTCCCAATACCTCAGAGACACAGTTTCCTCCTTTAGTAGGGACTGTGACCTTAAAAATAGCTGTCTCCAAAGTAAACACAGAAAAAAACCCACTTCAATTGTTTGAAATATGCAGTAAGTAACCAAAATCATGTCCATGCTAAAGCTGAAATTCACAGTCTTTTAGAGCTGCACCGAGGCTTTTTCTTCCCTGAGCCTTCATGTGCTCACGCTGCACACTGGCCTCTGTCTCCAAAGACATTGGTAAATCTTGCAGTGCCATTTGTAAGTAATTTGTCACTACCTTTACCACTCTTACAAAATGTTTAGAGGGGACACTTTCTGTTTGGATGAGGGCTAAGTGTGGCACCCAAAACCTATGGAAGTAGTGATCCCAGGCTGCTTCTGTGGTGTTCTGGTGGGCAGTATATCACAGCTGCCTAGGCCAGCTGGAGGAGTTAGTGATTTATCGGACAGAGAGCTTGTTTTGTCTCTTTTGCTTCTAGTTGTAGGTCTCCATTCTCTGGTCCAGCTGCAGAAGGAGGGAGACAGGACCCTTCTGCACTGGGGTTGTAGTACAGCCACATCCATAGGGCCTCACTGCCACCCCTGCCTCTGCTGCCCTCACATCTGCCCACAGCTGGACCAGAGCTTGCAGTTCCTACAGAAGCGGTTTCAGGAACAGGACTTACCATCAGACAGATTTAGTGGGGCAGTGAACCAATTCCCAACCTGTTCCAGTAACAAGGCTGGTGTCCATGTGTTAAAGCAGCTGTGAACAGCTGTGCTCTACATTTCACTGAGGAGCCCTTGGTATTGTGTAACCAGTAAGGCCAGAAGGACAGGAGAAAGGACATTCAAGTCTGCAAATTAAATCCCTTATGACAAGCAAGTATTGCAAAGAAGTATTTTCAGAGTCTGGCCAATGCCCTTGCATGGGAAAGTTGGTCGGGTCTTACAAACACCTCTCCCTGGGCAGAGTTGTCTCCTGACCCTGATTAGGAGGGTTTAAAACTGGTGCAGATGCAAGAGTAACAGTCCATTGCATCTCTCACAAACAGGCACCAAGTAGTACTTGTGCAGACTGTTACAAAACACAGGTTTTCCCTTTGCTTTTCATCTTGCAGGAGGATCTTTCTATCTCTAAATATACCAGCTACATCAGTGTGGTGTAGCAAATACACAGTCACTTGAATATTTTCCTCTGAATCTAGTCTAAAAGCCTTCATTTATTTAGAAAAAATATGTATTACAGTGTTTTGAAGCGTCAGAATAGGACTAAGAAACATTTGATTAGCATTGACAGCTTGGTCCTTTGGTGTAGGGGAAAGGAACAGTTGAAAAAGGCACAGGGGGAAACGGCGAAATAATAATTTTTGTATTTTTCCATCTAAGATGCAGCAGGGTTTGGGAAGGTTTTCTTAATCCGTTGTGTTATCCTGATCCACAGGGAACTCATTTTGAAATTAAATATACCAAAGCATTTATGATTTACAAGGGGGGTGAGGGGAAGCCTTAAAAAATATCTTGTGTTTGATCTATTTGTCGCTATGAAAATATTGACAAAAAGCAAAAGAATGGCCTTCATTTAGCTTATTATTTTTGGCTTGTTTTAACGCTTTCTTATTAAGGGCAAACTCCCATTAAGATGCGAGATTAACTCTTTCACAGTTGCAAAGGAATAAAAGGTGGAAATTTTGAACATGAAACTGTGATCTATTCTAAAGTAGGTAATTCCTACTCAAAAACTCATAGTGTGGCTGAGACAGATTCTTTTAAAAGTAAAAAACATATATGGAATAAGTTGTGCAGAATTTATGCTGCAAAATATCTTCACAAATCAGCTTCTGTGTAAAATCAGAAATACAGCGTTAATTACACAGTTCTTAAAGGATTTCAGAAAATAAATACTTTTTGGGGGGGAGAAAAAAGAAAGCATGAAGTGTTAACTACAGACCCAACACAAAGGTTCCCGGGGCCTTAGCTTCATCCTGTCACAGAAAGCTCTCCATCTGTGGAGCATGCTTTCCCTGGGAGTCAGTGAGCCCTGTGGGAGCCTGATTTGAAGGACAAGCGTTCCTGATGCTGAAATGGGCAAAGCAATGAAGAAACCGGAGTTGGTGCAGCACAGTAGCTGCTGATCCAGCCAGGCTGTGCCACTATCAGTTACTCTGGGATCCCAGGGCTGGGTTTGAGGGCAGTCACTGTCACACAAGTAAGAATTAGGTCGAGGTCTGTGCCAGAATTGCACCTTAGAATGTACCCAGAGTGGGCCCCAGGGCACTGCCTGGATGTGGCAGCACAAGGGATCAGGTCTAGGGCCCAGCCTCCTGCTCTGCCACTTGTGCTACCTGTGCTCGTTAGTTCAAAGGACTCTTAGGTAGCTAGAAACTCATTAAGGCTGGCAGGAGAATGATTACCTAGCTCTGGGTTAGTAATGCAATGCCTCATGTTGCAGAACAGCCAGACCTGAAGCTTAAGCTCTCTGTTGTCACTTCAGAGAGACAGATGTTACTACTGCCAGCCCAGAATTCCTAAAAGAAAATGCTAATTTAAACTACTTATCCCGTTAAATTCCCGTTGAATTTGCATTAGTAATGAAAGTAGTTGCATTGTTATCACTGTAGTATCTGAGGAGGCTGTTGGCCAGAATGTCATATGAACAGGAATGTCTGTTGGGATATTTAATTTCGTCTCCTGTGACAATGTACGATTGTTCTCTTTTGTACATTTTCTGTTAACTCTTAGTGGTCTGGGTGATATTTTGGTATAGGCAAGAAGTCCCTCCAGGCCAGCACAAAGTGCACGGTAGTGAAGTCCCTGTCTGAAGAATGGCAGTGTGCAGGGAAAACAGAGTTAGTATTCCACTGCACTGAAACAAGATGTTCACAGTTTCCTTCCCAGAATTTCCCACCAGAATATCTGGTTATATCTACAGCCAATACATCTCCATGTCTCTGTAACTAAGAGAGAGAACTTTAGGATTGTTACTCACCTGATCCTGCAGAGAGATCCCTCCTTGGAGACTGTTTGCTCAAATGTGCAGAGGGTCCCTTGTGAGCCTCTGTCACAACACATTTCACCTGCTCTTAGGTGTCTCAGTGGGTGCAGAGCTCTCACCACTTAATGCTGAATCCTTACAATACTTACATTATGCACCATTATGCTTTTATTGGACCCCAATCAGAAGGAACAGGTTTGGACTGGTTTGCCATGGGGACACAGAATGAGGTTAGAGGTGTAGGAGGTATTGGTAATAAAGCTTATAAAATGCAGTGAGCTTGTGCTTGGCGTTGTTAACCAGAAATATCACCTTCCCCACAAAATTCCTTTGGTGTGCAGGATTCTCATTTCTGCCTTTGGCTTCTTTTGTGTTGTATTATTTTGTGTCTCTGGAGTTGTGGGGTGGATTTCTTTGTCTCAGGAACCAGAAGTATTTAAAGTATAGGGGGACATTCCTTTATTAAAGCAATTCTTTCTATGGTCACAGCAATTGGTCTTACATAAATGATGAACAAAGAAGGAATGTATGTAAAGAGATACATTAGGTCATAATGGTGAATCTAATCTTTCTTAAACTAACAAGGAAGCATTCTGGAGTTTGTTGCTGTAGTTCATTTTATCCAGGCGATTTTTTGCTATAGCATTCTGGTCCAGGTTTGCAATCAAAAACTGCAGCCATTGTATGTTCACAGCTGTATCAATCCCAGTTTCTCTTGTCTGTATAACATTAAGTTCCTCCATTAGGATATCTGTTAGTCAAAAACCAGAGAACTATATAATTAAAAAAAACAGATGTGCTACTTCGTGATTCTTCCCAAAATATTGTTCTGCTCCTCCTTTCCCAAACTTCCCTCAGTCAGATAGGCAGAAATGGCAGCGTAGTGGAAATGCTGCTGTGCCCCCGAGTTGATGTGCCTGAACATTTTATAAAAATGGCCACTTTTCTTAGTTTTGCTCAGTTAAAGCATAATTGGAGACTTGGGGAGGCAGGGGATATTATTCTAGAATCAGCATATGTAATTTCCAGCATTTCCAAGTGGCTAAGGAGTAATTCACC